GTGTCATGATCCTCGCAAGCGAATCAAGATCACAGGCGCGAAAAACTCTCGAAGCATTCTGGATTAATTCCAGAAATCCGAAAATGAACCACAGGGAAGAATGCCTCATTATCACGCGTGATATAGGGCAGTATATAAGACTGCTATTCTGATGGTAGGGGCACGTTATTCTTCCATGTGATTTGTGTGCGGTTGGTCTCTACTTGACATTCTTAGTGGAAACCTCATAGAAAGCGGTCAGTGTGCAAAGTTGTGTTCAGTGTGATTGAAATCTTGGTTTAGAGTTTCTTTGTTTGGTTATGGAGGCGTCTGGCCGAGTAGATTGCTATGAACTTGACCTTTCCAGGCTCTGAGGAAGGCGAAATCCGCCGAAACGTCAGCTTATTCGTGAATAAAGAATAATAACACTTCGCGTTTGCTCAACAAAAATACGAAGAATTACTTGATCAATGCCGAGGTTAATAGAAAGTCGGTCGTGGGAGCATGATTGGTATTTATATTGTTTAGAGATATCCACTTTCAGTTTTGTTGCTGAAACAAGAAAGACAAGTGAAATGTATTAAACCCGAGAAAGTGCGATGAAACGAAGTTATTCGCAAAAAGAAAACACTATACATGGAACGAATTGGTGCCAAAGAAGCTATATCTAACCTCCGATGTATCAGTAGCCAGTTTGTGGTAGTGTGGCTTGAACTTTCCACCATTATCAGTTAAAACCTTCACCGCACCCTCAGTAAGTGGTACCAGTTGACGACCACCAGTTTCTGAGAAAAAGGAATACAATGGCTCAGCACAGTACACTAGCTGAGATCACGTCTAAAATGAACGCTAGATAAGGACGAGAAAGAAGCAAGCCTTACGAGGCATTCCAAGCGGATTTGAAAGAGTGATGGACGAGAATAGTGCCTTATTCGCAGCAGCCTGACTTCCGTACTCTTGTCTCAGCTTTTTCTGGCGCTCACAATAGCTATTCCAGGTATCTGTTAACAATGAGTACATTTTCAGCTTCTACAAAAGCTTCAATTAATGCTGCAAAAAAAAAAACGCTCGCACTTCGCAATTATAGTCTAGAATTCTACTTATTCATTCCCACCTTCCGTAAAGCCATAATTGAAATAGTCAGTTATATCAGCGCCAGGCTTTCGCCAAGGGCGGTCTTCCATTTGGGCGAGATCTATGTCATAAATGGGCTTGTCATTGATTGTTGGCACGGCATCAATATCCAGTTTGCCTGTTTGCCCTGATTCGCCGTTCAAATCCAGTGAACCTTTCTGAAGAGATGCTTGATAGGAAAACACGACTGCATTAAACACGTAAACACAACGCTATCATATCATACACCATGCCGACATTTAAGCCAAATTTTGTGCGAAAATATATAAGAAAAAAAGGTAAAAAGATATAGACTAAGCTGAACTATGATAAAACAATATGCTTACCATACTGTACTGCACGTTTACAGGAGGTATAACACCGATTGTCACCTCAACATCATCTTCATCATCACTCTCTCCTGAGTCGGCCAGTGGATCTATGCAATGTGAAGTTTGAACACTACCAATTTCAGGCCTTCGTCAGCTCATAATTCTCTTTCTCTTCACGCTTTTTTACTCAACAACTCTTCCAGTACGCTGAGTGTACACCAAAAAGTTAAAATGCAGTAGATTAAATTACTACTCACTCGCGCTTTTCTCCTGAAAATCTACAACATATAATACCGTATATATATAGAAGAACCGCACCTGCCATTGGTTGAGTGGCATCACTTCTCAATGTGGCCGGATCTGTCTCCGGTTCGATGCTCAGTGACCCATCCATTGGTACTTAACCAAATAAATCCAAGTTTTGAAAGATGATGTAACCCGACCAAAGGAGATCTCTGGATAGCAACAATGAAAATATCTAAATTACTCAAAACAGGTACGAGACAAATGACTCGAAATACTGAATGCGAAGAAACCAGTGACGGTCAACAGAACCATGCTATAATTTTTCATTCTGCATAACTTTATCAACACTGAAACAAAATCTAGCCCAGAATGAATTGAAATATTAGGAAACAGAGCTTCCAATGAGACCTCTCAATAAAAAAACTTTTAACTAGCAATATCAATAAATAAATTTGGCAAGATGACTTTTGCTTTTCAACCAGTATAAACAAAACGCCCATATTGTAAGTAGAAATGATGACTAGAACATTGATCGACCCACTATAATAAGTTAACTACAAATAGAAATGAAAAGAAGAACATGGATATTTGATGAAGATGAAATCACAATTAAACGTCGACAAGGAATCGATTAGGGTAGAACTTTAGACCTTCCATCGAATCATCACGGCAGAGCACTGCTTGTTCTTCTGCTGCCAGAAGCCTGAAAAACTTCCATGTCAAATAAAACAGTCGGTGATACAATATAATTCTTCACTCCCAAAACACAATTCTGACAACAGCTCCTGCTTAATTACTTACTTGGATACTTGGGTGTCCCGTGCTGAATGGTTGTGCGGGCTCCAGAATAATTTCCATTTCTTCAAAGTTTTGCTAGTCTAGCCACTGTGGTTCCCTGGAGTCCCGAGGTCTGCCTCAGATCGTCACCACCACAGGCAGTCGATACTTTTGTGGATTAGAGGGAGATTTGCCACCATGTGACTAGTTTGGTAACAGGACGGCGACGGAACCTGATACTGGTTTACTCTTAGCTGGGCTTCCTGTTGGAAACGCCGAACCCCTCACATCGGGAGACCCTGCCGAGGGTTGAATCTTCTCGCTGTACATCGTGGCCCGACTCCTAGGAACACTTCTTAGCCACGATAAGGCGATAAACCGTTGGGAGGACAACAAATTTTAACGCCCGAAAACGGATAAGCCGAATATAAAACAAGTCACATAAACATAGTTTACCGTTCTTTCGCCAATATGACGGTTATACCACGACTAGCAGCTAATTCATTAGCAGTCGCACTTCCATTCATCTTGACGAAATCAGCTGTTGATTCGACCATGCTCTCTATTGACGCCGTTTTCAACTGTAACACTATTACTCCAGTGGCAAAACGATGAAGCCTGGAACAGAAATTCATTACTAAAATAATTATAAGCAATAGAGCAGGACATTAGCATAGCTCAGCAGGTAGTCTTTATCGATGCTGAGAACAAAACTATCTTACGGCACACTACTGGAGCAACACCGTTTGAAAAAAGGTTTCAATTACAAACCGGTTTTGAAAGAGCTCTCAAAATCAACACATAACACAAGGTTTAATGGAAGAGATGACCATTTCCAAACGAGATTTTAGAGCTTACTCCATTCGTGAGTCTACCCGTCTATTCAATGCTTGGCAAGCGTTCAGCAGATCCTCAGGCGAAAGCAGTTCCATACCACGAGCTCGATTCACTCTACAGTAAACTTCGGGCAAAGTCATCATTCCACCACATTCCTATAAAGCTCTCGTAAAGAAAACTAAAATGCAGTAAAAATACCTCTGCTTTTGATCCAGCGATGTAAAAACAGAGCTCAGAGCTCGAAGAAGCAACCGTTTTTGGAACAACACTTGAAATTACCTTCAACGGCTGAAGAAGAACAGTACAAAGCTCTTCACCAAGTTTGTCAAAGTAGACGGCCCCATTTCCATACGCTGACTTCGTCACCGGATCGGAAACCCCGAGAGAAAGTAGGTACGATTTGAAGGCGACTGTCTGAAATATTTCACTACAAAATATTACCACTCAGAGGAATATTATACAACAGAGTAAAAGCGAAACAACACTCATAAAACGTGAAGACTAATTTTGGTTATTTAGAAGAAAAAACAAAGATTCCACTTTCATCAACAAACTGACTTCGTCCTCGGTTATCTCTCCCTTTCGAGACCGAAGTTTTTCAGCTATACTTTTTGACAATGCTACCATATCTCGAGCGCTTTCCATCAGCTTTGACATATCTTCGAATGCCTGAAGAAATGGTACTAGAAATTAACATAATCAACGAGCTGCTGTTTAAATTTGCAGGTAAACAATTGTTGACCTAATCAAAGGTATATGCATTCAGTCCATTTATTAATTTAATAGAACAAGAATGGACCACTTTCGTTGACAAACCTGGCTGATAGTTTCATTTGTTCGCTGATGAACCTCAACTAATCGTTTTTCCAGACCCGCGATTCCCACCGGACGCATTTGTATCCCTTGACTAGTCCTGGACTGAAACCAACGTGCAGAAACTTATCGTATGAAGAAGAATGCATGCTGTTCGCCCACAATTGTACTTTTAAACAACAAACAATCCTCGCGAAACAGTTATTGAAAAAATAACGGCCACTTACTCCACTAGAGCTCGATCCTGAACTGGAACGCTGCCAAGTCTTGCGCTTCAGTGCTTCTTCATACTTCTTATGGAACTGAAAAATTAGGGCCTTTAGTGAAAAGCAAAGCATAGGTCGCTTCTTAACTAATCGAAAGTACTTGTAAAAACTCACATCATCTTCACCGCCGGCGCGAAACACAAGGCGAATATAGTTGAAACTACTTGACCTCTGAGGACCGACATTGTTCGGTGGTGCCGACTCAAGTCGAACAATAATCTTTCCTCCACGACTGAACATCGATTTGTGATGCTTCTCAATAGATTTTACAAGCGAGTGGTGAAGAATTAGACGACGATCCTATAAATCATGTCATTATAGGATCCAAATAAATAGTGATGTGGTGATATCGAGCTCTGACAAAAGTCTTGTCGTCGATTATGCCTTCCCTTGTTCTGATGTGTTATTTCTAAAATATATTTAAAAAACAGATGCCGCGTTACCAATTTTCTTCCGTGCTTAATCTACGATAGTGGCTTGAGATGAAAAAAAGACTTGCGAGATTCCCAACTCTTGCTAAGGAGAAAGCAACCCGATATATAAAAATCGATTTCGATCAAGAATTAATGTCCCTACAGTGTAGGCTATAAGTCTCCCGGACATTAACACCTCGAAAATAAGGTTTACTATGTACTGCTTATTTCAACAACTACAATTTTAAGATGTTAACTAAAGCTGATGGGAGCGAAATTGTTCCAAAACGTGCAGAACAACTAAGCATAAAAAAGGATAAAAGGATAAAGTTCTCTGATGTGGAATGCGCCATGCATCGCCTACACTAAGCATCGTTGGCGATGAATGAATGTATACCCGGCCTTTACAATGACTCGCGGCGGACTACCGATGTATCGACCCAGACAAGTCTGATAGGAATTTGCCGACTACGGATGGATGGAAGGCTTGGAGGCTCTGGGGCGCCGAGATTGATCCCATCTGTATTATAAGGCGCTTCTGACACTGCGCTACACGCTCTCCTTGTCGCTCTATGAAAATGAATGGTACATATGATACTATCCACTATGTTTTAATGCAGTCCATATTGCAAATACATTGTTGTCTACATTTAGAAGTATTTTGTAGTTTATGTCGAGGTTAGTTCGGTACTTTCATATCGCCACATTCTATACTAAAAACAGCTATTAAAATGAAGCAACAACAAATTACTAGAGAAATTATCGGTCAACGAAGTCTTTCGAAAGAAGACATTTGAAAACCACTAAGTATAGACAATGGTTTTTCTTGTCTCACCCCTCTCACGTTGATCTGCTTGTGATTAGCTATCGAATGAACACAAAGGACGATAAAAAACTCAAGAGCCCATTAAACTGAATATGGACACTTCCATGCGGGGGGCAATAGATTAAAGATGATTCGATGTACAACTGGTCCATTTAATTACTTGCGCTTACTGATGTATAAAGTCAATGCTGCTATCTTCCCAGACAAGTCTGGTACCAAACTGTCGACCTCAACGGAATGGAAGGCTCGGCGATCCCTTGGCGCCGGATAGAACCAACGACAACCAGGGCACTTCTAGCCACCGTGCTAAGCACGCCCTTAGAGGAACTGAACTACTGGTATTAGGCTATACCAAACTAGAGCGATAATAAGAGAATATAAAAATAAGACAAAAAATGTAACAAAGGTACTTACGGGATCACTTGAGTCCGCCCATATTATGCGATGAAGAGTTAGTGAAGCAGTTCCCTGTTCGAATGCGGTCTAAATTTATTAGAACTAAATTCTACTAAAAAAAACCGTTGTACGTAAGTGTTTCCAGAAAGACAACTGGTCGAAATCACAAGTACAATGAGAGAGTCTAGAAATATTAACTCACATGTTTCAAGTCGCCATCGTAAATCCCAACATGGCCAGCCTGACAGAGGAGATCTTCCAGGTTTTCGCCGGGTTGATACCAAGTCAATCGATCCATAACTACAAAATAAATACACCAAAATGGCAAAACGATGACGTCATGAACTGTTGAGACTCAACAAAAAATGGAATTATGGGAACTGCAATCCATAGGAGAAGGAAATAATGATCTTAAGTTAATTAACTGCTCTAAAAATAAACCCTAATCGATAACAAACAAATGAACCAATAAAAATGTACGACATCCAGAGCGAAGAAAAAACTGCATAGTTGAAAATTCGATCGAAAGAGGGTTTGTATTGGGCTGCATTATTTCGATTTGGAGCACGTTATCTATAAGGGTGCAAAGTAAAGGATTCTGATTAGATTCGTTCAGGATTCCAATTCGAGAAGACTATTACGTTACGGTATATTAACATAGAATTGATTCACTTAACCATCTTTTCATGAAGATAGCATTAATATTTTGCCACTGAGACTCACTATTGCACAGCTTTTCTGGAAACTATAGCAATGAACCCACGCGCTATCATTACTCGGTAGTTGATCTGCATTAGTACATTTTTCGTTTCTTTTCTCTTCGGAAAATTCTTTCTTTCACTTTTCATCCCTTCTCACTTCTCTGCCCCCAAGCTACCGGAGCCAAAGGCGTGCGACACCGCTGCCGCTGTTGTTGCTAATTTGTCGAATTCCAACTCTTCGATTGACAACATCCTTCATCGTCATCGTCGACTCTACTTTGCAAAACTATCGCTGAGCACCACGATGTGGCTCTCTGGGGATTTTCTGGATGAGGTGTATTGAGTCTGCGTAGTCTTGTCAAGTAAAACCACTCAGCTCCTTTTCACCGAGGTGCCTTTCGCGTACGGCTGTTGTCGATTTTCCCTCATTTCTTCAAGATACTATGTCTAGATCTTCAATCAGTATCTGATTTCTGTGTCGTTTAGTTTTAATTGATCTCGAATTCGTTAGATGGAACTTTCTACGAACTCCTTGCTTGTTCGAAGAACTATCGTAAATAAGCAGAATCCCTGTTGGGGATTATCCTAATAGATAACAACTAGAGGGTAAACATAAACCTAACAAGGTCTTTTTCCCAAGTAAACACGCGAATAATGGAATGCCGAGACCAAACAAACGAATAAGATTTTATATTTTGTGTTATCTTCTATGAATTCAAACTGGAATCCTTGCGGAAAGTATCACATGTATTGTAAGCTCATTGTTCCAATAGATCGAACAGGTACTAGAAACTTTCACTCTCTTCCGACGAGTATAAGAGTTCCTCAATGGACTAGGCTGGTTCGAGAGATCTAAAGAGCACCATATTTTTGGTGCAATGGCGCTTTCCTCCGGCTTTTGGCAAGAAGTTAACAAAAAAAAGTATTACACTGTGCTTTGCGAGGCAAAGAGTGCTTAAACCGCGCTACTTGAAGAAAACATGGACGTCATTCTCAGGTTGGCTTGTCCAACTTGATGGATGAGCTTAAGTTCCGAGTCATAGTTCTAAACCTGAACACTTCACGCTTCCAACGAAAAGGCGGTAAAACATTAAGTGAATAAGTACCTCAAAGAGTATGAGACCGCGACGAAGATTGTTAGAGCTTCAGCATTACTGCTTTCATTTATGTTTGTAACTGTCATGCTTACAGTATTGACATTCTTTCTACTGCAATGCGTTCAGATATTTCCATTTTAGCTAGAATTAACCAGCGATTCCCTGAGACGTCGCGTCTGGTCTGGTAGTAATCAGAATGTAGATGTCTATCATCCTCCGTGTGCATTACCCATAAGGATCGAGATCTCTGAACTCTTGTTGAATGCTACCCTTATCTCCAATGCAGTTTTCATCGACACCCATTAGAAAATGTACCATTCCTCAACCAGGGAGAGAAGAGGATGTTTCATGTCGTTATAGGCAATGTTTTCTATTACGATTCATTCGGAACTGATCTAACCACCGCCTCTATCAGCCATTTGTCTTTGATACGTAGTTACGTAAGAGATTGCTTGCCGTGAGACTTACTCCTTTTGAGGGGGAGAGAATACTGTCCTGTAGAAAATAGGACGAACCTCATACTGCCTTCATTGACCAGCATCGATAAGCATGTGAAGTCTCGAAAAATTCTACATCATACAAGTTTGAGCTTTCACAATATGCTGGGTAACCGTCCAATTTATCTTCTTAGTCAAGGTTCAATGTCTCAATTCCGATAAAAGTGCCAACGACGACGTCGTAGTTGCAACTTACTTCAACACGATTAGGAGCTTCCGCTTATGTAGTAGCAACTGTTTGATCGTAGATATAGTCACTGGAAGTAACGATGTCTTCAAGAAAAAAATCATTAGTAGTCGAAAATCATTCACCAACTATGTTGCATAGAAGACACCACCGAATGAGGTTACTTCATTCTAGCGGTCTGCTACTCAAGAAGATCCCACTCCATACGTCCACGAAGATCCACAATGCGAAGACGAAAGACTGTGGACTATTGACTCGGATGATCTGATCTGAGGAAGACGAAAACGTCAAAATGCTAGCAGAATAAAAGTTATCCAACGACCTCGTGTAAGTTGAGCAATCTAAACAAACGTATTGATTAATCACGCCGAGGTTAAGTGGAAATCGCTTTAGTAAAGTGACGGTGAATACATTCTTGACTAAAGTGCTTAAGGAACAGGAAGTTGCGAAATATTGTCATCTTCAACGATTGTAAGTTTTCGGCGATGGAGAACACTGTTTAACGTCAACGTGGAGACAAGACATTTCTCAAAGTAGAATTTAGTACCAATCTTCTATTGTACACCAGTGGCTGCCACTAATAGTACGCATTATTTGCTTACTATCTCCTACGTTATATAACACATTTCCTACATAAGACTCCGAAAACCCTGTATAGGGTGTGGTCAGAGACTACCAGAGTAAACGTGTTCACTTAGGATCTAAAGGGTTGTGTGGTATGGACGGTGCTATTATATAATAATACCACCCTACATGCTAAGGATGCTAGGAATTATGGGACCAACCTTTCGAGTAACTCAAGCGGGCGCCAATAAATCTTCCATTCTTCCCTGCCGCGTACAAGAGAAGCCCAGTGGGTTCTGTTCGCTCTAAGGAGTCGTCGTGTATCATACCTTTCTTCTAGGCTCTTCATAAAGAGCTCTGACTATCGGGTCGGTGGTCTTCCTGCAGTACGTTTGACATCCCGAGGATTCTAATCACTAACGGCTCTTGTCCATCGGTTGCTATTCATACGCATTACGTGTCCGGCCCACCTTATCCTCGACTCTTTGGCGTACCGAACAGCATGTTTGATTTTTGATCGTTGATGCAGGTCGGAGCTTCGGATCCCATCCTTTACTTGTGTGAAACGGGATACTCCTAGCATCGTCTCTTCGGCTGCGAGTTCGATAACGCTGAGGGATTTTTCATCCTGCTTACGCAGCGACCAGGTTTATGTCGCATACATTATAGTAGGAAGTACCGTTGAGTCGAAAAGGTGGGCATGGAGTCGGGTGTTCCTTGTTCTCCTCGCTATATCCTCGACGCTCTTGAAAGCTCCAGCGCCGCTCGTTTCCTTCTGCTCAGCTCTGGAGTTAGGTCGTTCATCATATTGATTTCCCGACCTAGATAGATATAACTGGAGCATTCGGAGATATTCGTTCCGTTCAGCGTGAATGGGGCATGCGAAACTAATCCGTCATTCATGAACATCGTTTTTGTGAGACTTAGTCGAAGACCGGTCTATCCACAGGCTTCATCAAAGTCGTCAAGCATATGTTCCGCTTGGCTAATGTTTGGTGTTATAATTACGATGTCATCAGAAGCGCGAAGATGGCGTAACTGCCGACCATCGATTTTCACTTCCATATTATCCCATTCTAATGTTCCCATGACGTTCTGGAGTGTGGCGGTAAATAATTTTGGCAAGATGGTATCGCCTTGCCTAACTTCTCTTTTGACGTCAATGTTAATATCATTATGGAATGGTGATATCTTGGTTATGAAATTTTTGTACAGCTCACGAAGAATCTTTATGTGCTGAGTAGGGACTCCTTGACTTTCAAGAGGTTCCAATACTGCTTCTATCTCAACTGAATCAAAGGCCTTTTGTAAATCGATGGAAGTGAGACAGAGCGGTCTTTTGTACTCTCGCGATACTTCAATGAGCCTTTTTATCGTGTGGATGTGGTCCATCGTACTTAATCCTTTTCGAAACCCTGCTTGCTCACATGGCTGTCCATCGTCTAGTGTTCTGTCAATCTTGTTTACGATGACTGGAGTGAAAAGTTTGGAGACGACGGACAGTAAGCAGATTGTGCGATAGTTGCTGATATCGTGTAAGCCACCCTTCTTGAACCATAACACGGTCTTGCTACTAGGGACCTTGCATTTAGACAGGTAGCGTGTGACGAGCCGAACCAGTGTGTTTACGAGGACTGGCGGAAAGTTCTTCAGGTGTACTGGTCTTATTCTGTCCGGACCTGGTGCTGTTCGATTTTTCACCGACGAATTGGCATGTAGGATTTCGGAATGGAAAACTGGTGGTACAACATATCCATCCTCCTTTATTTGATATGACGGAAGGTGGACGTGGCTATCGAAGAGATCTGAGTAGTATTCGTGAATGATTTTCTCCATTACCTTTCTGGGCGCTGTAACTGTTCCGTCTGGGCGTCAGAGTTCAATCATCTTGGTCTTGTAATTGGCGAAGCTTCGGTGGACTTTGCGAATGCTTTTCCCAGCCTCTGCAGCTTCGACCATTATTGCTGCTCTTCTCCCTTTAAGATCTTCTTTTATCACCTGTCTGCATTGTTTTGCAAGTTCGGACGCACCTCGAGTGCTTTTTGAGACAAACATCTTTTGGTGACTTTCGAACTGTCAGCTGTCATAGCGCTAATATGAAGATGTTGAATCAGCCGATCGTATTCTTCGTCGATGTTATCGACAACGGCATCTTCCCAACGGCCGACTAATGAATTGAATAAGTGCAGGTTTATGGTGGTTCTGGGACTTTGGTTTTTGAACTTAGCTGCTTCTTGTTCTTTCCGCGAGAG